TACCTACTTCATCAAATAGTTAAGAAAGGATTCAGTGAGAATGTGTACTTTATTTAAGTGATTTACATAATGTATAGCACTCAGCAGGTATCTAATAAATGTTACTGTCCTTGCCATTTATAACCATGGTGTTTCTCACTTCGAAAAGAGATGAATGCAGTTTGGTGTTGGTGATTTTTATAAGTCCATGTCTCTTTTTAAGATATTAGGTAGAGGACATTAGAAAAGAGGAAGGTTTGAAATGCTCTGTGTGAGCTTCTGGCATAGTTATTAACTTGTATTTTTCACTCTTCTGGAGGAAATAATGCATTCCTATATATATGTCTGTTTGGCATTGGTGTTTAGTACCATTTATTCCTGGGGCTTTGGAGTATGAGGCCTATGGGCATTGTCTCTTAAGGCTTGGAAGGTCTCACTATGGAGCTTGTTCTTAGCCAAAGTGGTATTTTCTGTAACAGGCTGTACCATTCTGTTTTGAGGGGTTGAGCAGCCACTGCTTTTGCTAATGGGCAAAAATTTTAACACAGTATTGAGTTTCTATAGATAAAGTCATTTTTCTTCAGAAATCTCACAGATCAGGAGTCAGGGCTTTGGTTAGGAAGAGGCTTATGTTAGCGCTTTATCCCTGCTTCCTTTAAAAACTATTATTTAACAGTGAGAAGCATGATCAACCAAAGCTTAAAAAAATTATACAATTTATCTCTCATATTTTCATAATGATTATAAATAACATGTACTGTACTTGATAGCAAACTCTTACAGAAATATGACTAAATATAATAATAATAATACTATGTTTATACAATCAACCCCTTATCTTTTATGGTTATCTTAACTTTTCCCTCTATTTACTGCTACTTCTGTGACTGTCCTTGGAACAGTTTGGCTGGTCATGTGCCCAGATGGTATCAAGTGGACAAGTGGATCGAGGGCAGTCTAAATATGTGTGTGCATGTGGAGGGGGGGTGAACCAGGAGCCAGCCAAGTTGAACTCTGTGCTACTTTTGTGTTGGCACTGAGATCCTGAGTGCCAGTTCTTGACTGTCCTTGAAACTCCCTGAAACAGGAGGGAATTCCTTTGTTTGGCCTACTGTCTAAAATAAACCCTGTGCAAACCTCTGTGCCATAATAGGTTATTAATAAACGCCATGCAAACCTCTGTACCGTAATAGGTTATTATTAATTGTTTATACTCATACTTTTTTGTTTTGGTTCTGATTTTGCATAAAGAAAAGGGATCTTGGCTCCCTTAATATCCAGATCCAATCACATTTCACATGCAGCACATAATTTTGGAGGAGGCAGTCCTCAGTAAGGCAGTTAGTAACAGTTTTAGTTGACAGTTGTGTGCTTAAAAAAATGATGCTAGAGAGGAAGCAGAAAACAAAGAAGAGGAAAGAGATGTATGAGCAATGAGATGTAGAGAAGGGAGCAGAGAGGTAGGAGCTGGCTGAGAGCCTGCTGAGGGTGGCTTTCGCTAAGCAAAGCTTCTGGGAATATTCTTGTGTTTCCAGTGAGTAGCAGAAAGGTAATAATGAGGTATTTAACACCTGTACTTCAACAAGTAGCTGAGGACCAAGACAAAAAGGAGATGAAACAACCTGAAAATAACCTGGAGCATCCAGTAGATGGAGAAAGTTGTATGCCAGAGTCTAGAGAAGTGTAGGTACAGTATAGTCAGCAGGTCTAAGGACACCATTAAACTGTCCCCCCAACCCCTTTAACATTTAACTTGATCTCAAACTTTTATTTGTTTAATCTTCTTAATGAAATGGTAGAAAACTAAACAAGAGGTCAGCTCTTGTTTAGTCACTAGCTAGTTTTTTGTACCCCAAACTTTTATTCCTGAGTCACTAGCTAGTTTGAGGGAGTGTGGTGGCATTCTCTCACCCCCAAAAGAAGAAATTGGATTAAATGACCTCTAAGGTCCTTGCTACCTCTAAAAGTCTGTTTGGCTATGTTAAAGCCTCAGAGACTTAGAACACCCATCACATCAAGTCAAGAGGATAAAAGAGAATATGTTTGTAAGTGGTATATCAGACACTGAACAATTGATAGAATGAATGTGAAAGCAGGGAGATAATGAAGGAAAAAAGCAATATTTATGGGATATTGGGGGCATTTTCTCTCAAAGGGGAATTATGGTCTATGATGTCTGTGGCTTGTGGGAACAAGTCTAAGGTTGCATTGTTCATTTTTAGTTGCCTTTTAAAAACTCTTTCTAGAGAATTACTGCTTCCAGGTGAGAAAACCCTGGCACATGTGTGTGTATGTGTGTGGTATCTGACCTGTGTGTGTGTGTGTGAGTGTAGTATCTGACCTGAATTATCAGGGACGGGATGCAAGTCCCTGTGGTATTAACTCTCATAGTTTTGCAGTATTTGTGTTGTTTGGCTCTGCTGATGTCTGTGGCAGTTGGGACACAGGTTGCCTCTTGATCTGTGCCAGAATTGCTGTCTTCCTCCTCTCATATTTATCACTTTGTCATGCCTGACTCTGAATCCCAGAGATCAGGGCTTTCTGTAGCCCAGCAGAGGAGCAATAAATCATTGCTCCCTCATCTTTTCCTCCAGGTTTGCTGCCCCTTAATTACCACAGAGCCACTGCTGAGGCTGCATCTTTTGTGCTGTGTATGTATGCTGGGGACAAAAGCTTTTGTTGAGTGCATGTATACAAAAGTGACTTTGTTTTTCTCAGTAGCCATTACGTTTTGCAATGTGCCATGCATGGTACCTATCCCTTGTCTCTTATGAGTTTATAGGGTCTGATTGTCAGGTGGTTTACCCATTTACAGGGCTTGTTTGAACTCTGGGATTACGGGGTGAAGTGGAAAGCCCCTAAATAGCTTGGCAATATAATCTTCATTAAGGAGGAAAGTTTGACTAGGGTAGTCATTTTCATGTGGATTTTTGCTAGCCCCCTTTATTCCCTGTGCTAAGGAGCTAAGCAGGTTTTGTGATTCAGAATGGGCTCCCGTAGAGCATTTTTTTTTTTTTTTGGTAGTGGGGTGGTCCAGTCCAACAGATCACTTCTTTTTTTTTTTTTTTTTTTTGAGACGGAGCCTCAAGCTATCCCCCTGGGTAGAGTGCCATCACGCTCACAGCAACCTCCAACTCCTGGGCTCAAGTGAGTCTCCTGCCTCAGCCTCCCAAGTAGCTGGGACCACAGGCCCCCGCCACAACGCCTGGCCATTTTTTTTTGGTTGCAGCCATCATTATTGTTTGGCGGGCCCGGGCTGGGGATTCGAACCCGCCACCTTAGGTGTATGTGGCTGGCTCCTTAGCCGCTTGAGCCACAGGCGCCGAGCCAGATCACTTCTTAATAGACATCTTCAGAAGGGCCAACTGCTAATTATTTGCTTTTTCATTCTGAAGCCCCAGAGAACTTGAGTCGTGGCATGGGGAAATAGTTCACAAATGAGGGTGTTGCATAGCAGGCAGCAGGTGTCTGGAGTTGGATTCCAGCGAGGGTGAGGAACCTGTGGCGTGGTCCTCTAGATCCCTGAGTGTAGCTCCTTGACTGAATCCAAACTTCATGAACAAATCTCTTTCTTAAAAGTATTTGTTCTGTAAAATTTGTATTCAGTCAAAAGGTCACTGAATACAAAGGAGCCAGAAGGCCACATGTGGTGCCAAGGCTGCAGGTTCCCCACTACTGTAAGAGCGACATATCTTCCCTAAGAGTAGTAAATATCACACAAAGCTTAGATATTATGGGATAATGAAATTCTTTGCTGACAAAGAAGAAGATACGGTTTTAGCAATGGAGAGCTCGGATGGCGCCTGTTGCTCAGTGGGTAGGGCACCGGCCCATATACTGAGGGTAGCGGGTTTGAGCCTGGCTTCAGCCAAACTGCAACCAAAAAGTAGCCGGGAGTTCTGGTGGGTGCCTGTAGTCCCAGCTACTTGGGAGGCTGAGGCAAGAGAATCGCTTATGCCCAGGAGTTGGAGGTTGCTGTGAGCTGTGACTTCACAGGACTCTACTGAGGGTAATAAAAAGAGACTCTGTCTCTTAAAAAAAAAAAAAAAGAAATGAAGAGCTCAAACCTTTTTTTGGTTCTGTGGGAGGGTGGAGGTGACAGAAGGACCACAGATTGCCTGCAGCTGCTGAACCCCTTCTTTATCATATCCCATCAAATATGAGAGCTAGGTTATAGGCCCTATTATTGGGGGCATTTTTAAAGATGGGAACAGAAGCAGGTTTCATTTCATGGACAAATGTCCAAGGTGAATGAGTACAGAGCAACTGATAATTTCTTTTATGCTTAATATTTATTTGCAAAAAAGAGTATTTAAAACTGCATTGTTAACCTAGAAATTTGGCAGTCTCCTTACTGAGATTGCTTGAGTTTTTAGTAATCTCTCCCCTCACTAAGGACTGCCGAACAGAAAAGGAAACTTTTCAGTAAATGTTGTCACTGTCAAAAGAGGTTAGAGCAAGCTATTTGAATCGCTAGAGCAGTTAAAAGCTTTTTTCTCTTCATGAGCTCTCTTTCTGTCCAGAGTGGAAGCCTAGCTAGCTGTAGGTTCCACAGTATGGCTGCCACATGTGGCAACCAGTTAGAATAGGTAGCTGTCCCTCTGAACAATGATATTTGAAACCAAAACATGACTAAAGCTTGGTGACAATAGATGCTAGAAGCCTAGGATCTTTCTTTTTTAAATTGAGCAAATTTGATGGGGAAATCACCATGTGGGAATAAATTTAGAACGTTGAAATGTCAGTTTTATAGTCAAATTTCTGAGCTTAATTGCTATTTATAACGTGATAAAAAGAAGCAGATTTTAAAAAACCTTTTATGGGCAGATAAGCAGACATCTACTTGGAAAGGTGTGCTTTCCTCAAATGTACCTTCCTTACCTGCTTTTTAAAGAGACCTTGGTAGCTGAGACTTAATTATTCTAGCCCTGTGGATTTCTGTAGGGTTAGCCAGCTTTCATTTAACTTTATTGATTATGGTTTGAATAGCTTGTTGATGTCTTTTTTTTTTTTTTTTAAAGCCTTGATAAATTTGCTGAAGTTCCTTATGTCAAATGAGACTGTTCTTTTGGCCAAACACAACATTTTTACATTAGCCCTTATGGTGAGTAACAAAACAAATATTTCTTTTTTTGAAGCCATACAATAAGGCAGAAATGAACATAGAAGCTGATAGTCTCAGGACTGAGCTATAGGGGGAACCAGGAACATGTTTTCCATTTGGATCAGAATCTATAGACTTGTGATCCTCACTCTCACCTTTGTCTTTGGCAAACCTGGGACTTTTTTTCATTCATAAGAGTATTATTGTCTGGTAGTAGTGGGTATAGGTCAGATTTCTGTGTATGAATAGTGAGCCTTGGTCCCAGATGATAAACTATTCTATACTACTGCACTCTCTGTATTGGTAAATAACAAAGCCTCTAGAGATGTCCCAACTAGATGAGTGGTATATGGTTGTACCTGGTTTATGAGAGACATTATAGATGTCTGTTTAGCTGACTGGTTACCTCGTAGAAGGAAGGCATTGTGCCTTTTGACTATCTTCTTAGGATATTACCCAGTGTGTTTGTTAATATTCAACATTTGGGGGGGAAAGTCCTCATTCCTAGCATTTGATGGTAACTACTATACCCCCTATGGCCAATTTCAAGCTACCAATGTGACATCAGAGTCATGCAGACTGGGAAGAGATGAACAATAGTACACCATGATATGGTATTCTCACCACACAGACAGTAGAGGTATAATTCAAACCCCAGACAATTGTAGATAATAATAGATAATGGTAAATATGGAAAATAACAAGGAAGTGACAAGTTTTGAGTATTTACTACTTTCATTTTAATGTAATTTATTTAATTGTAAGTTATATGAATAAATTTTTAATAATGGCTGGGTTTAATAACCAGCTTATAAAATTCCTAAGAATGTAATATTAGTTCTTATAAGCCAGTAAGAGCTGACTACAGCATACCACTGATAATTTCTGATCTTAATAATCTGATGCCTGTATATGGATGCCTGCTTCTTTTTTAGATTGTGAACCTCTTTAATATGTTTATTACATATGGTGACACATTCCTGCCAACCCCCAGCAGCTATGATGAACTTTACTATGAGATTATCCGAATGCACCAGAGCTTTGATAATCTGTATTCCATGGGTAAGCTGTCTTTTCTTTTTACTCCTTTCCTTCTATCAGCTTCCTGGTTTTTGTCATATGTGAGAAAAAGATTACAAAAGATTCTTCTCTAGCTGTTGTGTTTGCCCTTGCGTGGCTCAAAACAGTAGTCTCTAGCCGAGCACAATGGCTCGCACCCATAATCCTAGCACTCTGGGCGGCTGAGTCAGGTAGATTGCTTGAGCCTAGGAGTTCAAGACCAGCCTGAGCAATAGCAAGACCCTGTCTCTACTAAAAATAGAAAAAACTGAAGCAAGAGGCTAGCTTGAGCCCAAGCAGTTGAGGTTGCTGTGAGCTATAATGTCATTGCACTCTATTCAGGATGCCGGAGTGAGACTCTGTCTCAAAAAAAAAAATAGTATTCTTCCCTTCTCAGGCAATAGAAAGGTATATGTGGGCTTTTGCCTTTAGGAATTCAGATTTTATCTCAGTGAAAAGCTGGTTAGCAGTTCTTTGTTGATATTTGTAAGACAGAAAAAGGAGGCTTGTGGATTCAGTGAATGCCAGGGAGATGGGGGTGAAAGAGTGGGTGGGAATTGACAGCAGCAAATAGAAGAGCTTGGTTCCCAAAGGAACACTGTGTAATTTGAGAAGTTAAAGGATTTTAAGGAATCTTAGTGTACTTATGTATTTTTAGCATAACTTACAAATGGAAGTGAGCATTAGATAAAAATCTTTTTTGCAAAACCTTTTAGTGATTGGCCTACTGAAAATTTACTCTGCATCTATAGTGAGCATAACTCGTTCCTGAAAGAGATCATATGTAAGTTTGAGAAAAGGCCTAGTCAGTCCTGGAATTTAAAAGGCAAGGAAAGATCTCTATAGGTTGTACAGAAATAGAAAGTCACTCAGTGACTTTTTTTTTTTTAAAGCCCAATTAGCTTTATTGAGGAATAGTTAACATATAAAATAACTAGTACTGGCTCGGTGCCTGTGGCTCAAGTGGCTAAGGTGCCAGCCACGTACACCTAAGGTGGCGGGTTCGAATCCGGCCCGGGCCTGCCAAACAATGACGGCTGCAACCAAAAAATAGCTGGGCGTTGTGGTGGGTGCCTGTGGTCCCAGCTACTTGGGAGGCTGAGGCAGGAGACTCGCTTGAGCCCAGGACTGGGTGGTTGTTGTGAGCTGAGATGCCATGGCACTCTACCCAGGGGGATAGCTTGAGGCTCCTGTCTCAAAAAAATAAAAAAAACTAGTACACATACAAGTTTGTTTGTTTGATCACAGTGATCAAGATATTGAACATATTCATCACCTCCCAAAAGTTTGTTTTGCATCTCTTTAGAATCCTCTTCTTGTGTTCCTCTCTCCACTTCTACCCCTTAAGTCCCATCCCTGAGCAACCACTGACATGCTTTCTGTCAGTGTGTATTAATTTGTTTTATTCCTTGTGATGAGACTAAATTTGTGAAAACCCTTGGGACTTGCATGTTATGAGAAAAGTAAAAGGGGTTTCAAACAAGCACCAGGAGAAAGAGGAGAAGCAAGCAGTGGAAAAGGGATTGTCTGAGGGGAAAATACTTTTTTCTCATGTGGTTATTTCTCCAAGTTTTAAGTTCCTTCTATAATCTTTCTGCTTTTGTTTAATTTCCAGCATCCTCAGATAATTACTTTTCATATTTTAGCCAGGATTTTTAGCTGTAATCAGTAGGAGAGAGACACTTTAGTGGGCTTACTTTGCCATGCTGGAAGTGGAACCTTACCATTTTATTTATTTACTTTTACCAGTTTACCAAATTACAAAATAAACATTTGTAATTTACTATCTATACCATTTTTTTTTTGAGACAGAGTCTCACTTTCTCGCCCTTGGTAGAGTAGTGTGGCAGCGTCACACTACTCACAGCAACCTTCAGCTCTTGGGCCTAGGCAATTCTCTTGCCTCAGCCTCCCGAGCAGCTGGGACTACAGGCGCCTGCCACAACACCCGGCTATTTTTTGTTGTTGTAGTCTGGCCAGGGCCGGGTTTGAACCTGCCACCCTCGGTATATGGGGCTGGCACCCTACTCACCGAGCCACAGGTGCCTCCCAACCATCTTTATGATTTTTAACTGTACAGTTTAATACTAATAAATACATTTATGTTCTTTTTTTCCTTTGTATCCCTCCTTGCTCCTGCCCTTTCCCAGCTTCTGGTAACTACCATCACCTTCTTTTTTAAAATATATTTTTTCTGAGTATATAAAATTTGGTTTTCAATACTTTAAAATGTCATTTCCAGGCTCAGCGCCTATAGCTCAACCAGCTAAGGCGCCAGCCACGTACACCTAAGGTGTCGGGTTCAAATCCCCAGCCTGGACCCGCCAAACAACAATGACGGCTGCAACCAAAAAAATAGCTGGGCGTTGTGGCGGGCGCCTGTAGTCCCCGCTACTTGGGAGGCTGAGGCAAGAGAATCACTTAAGTCCAAGAACTGGAGGTTGCTGTGAGCTGTGACGCCAGGGAATTCTACCAAGGGTGATGTAGTGAGACTCTGTCTTTAAAAAAAAAAAAAAAAGTCATTTCCATTATTTTCTGGCTTGCATAGTTCTTGATAAAAAGTCTATTGTTACTCTTATCTTTGTTTCTCTCTATAAAATATATTGTTTTTCTCTGAATGCTTTAATATTTTCTTTTTATCACTGGTTTTCTATAATACATGCTTTGGCAAAGTTTCATATTTTACTTCAAGTTCTTTGAGATCCTTGGATCTGTAGGTTTCTAGTTTTCATCAAGTGTGGAAAAATTTTGGCTATGATTACTTCTCTTACTGCTCTTCTTGTTTTAGAACTTCAATTATATATATTTTAGACCTCTTGACAGTGTTCTATAAGTCACTAAAGCTCTCTTTTTAAAAAATCTTTCCTCTCTGTGCTTTATTTTTGGTAGTTTCTCTTCCTCAGTCGTCAAGCTCACTGATCTCTTTTATAGAGTTTAATATGCTATTACTGTCTTTAATTCAGTTCATCTCATTTAGTCATCAGTGTATTTTTTATTTCAGAAAATTTTATTTCCCCCAAAGTTTCCCCCTAAAAATTCTTTTTTAATATGCCTATTTGTTTCCTTATGGTGTTTATATTTTCCTCAGTCTTCCTGAGTATATGAAGCATATTTATAATAGCTATTTTAATGTCCTTATCTGCTAATTCTATTCACTTTATTCATGTCTATGTCTATTCCTGTTGACAGATTTTTCTCTTTCTTATGGGTCATACTTTTTTGTTTATTGATTGCCTAGTTATGTTTTTAAATTAGAATTTACCATGACATTGTGATTTTTCTTTTTAAGATAGGGTTTGTGGAATCACATTTGATCCTGCAATCACATTACTAGGTATCTACCCAGAAGAACAAAAATTATTATACCATAAGGACATTTGCACTAGAATGTTTATCACAGCTCAATTCACAATTGCCAAGATGTGGAATCAACCCAAGTGCCCATCTAACATGAATGAATTAATAAATTATGGTATACCATAGAATACTATTC